AAGAATAATAAAAATGAATTGTGTATTTTTCCATCCTAAGTCAACATTTTTAGATTATTATTAAGGTATGAAAAGAGGTGCAATAAAACCTCAGTGAACTAGACATTTGAGGACAAGAAGATTTTTCTGTTTGTTTGTTTCAATTTTCATGTTAATTGACAGAGAGCTGGAAAGTGCTTCTGTGTTGAAAATCTTCCCAAAGCAGTTTCTTTTCCTAATTATAAAACTTTTAACCATTCTATAACTATCCTCCAGGGTACAGTAATTCTCTGCCTTTACTAAACCAAAACTATCTTGTTTTCTGAATCTTTATCTCTGAAAAAGGGAAGTGGGATGTGTGGGGTAGGGTGGGGTGTGTGGGAGGGGGTGAAGTGGGGGTGGGGTGGGAAGTAGGAAGGGTAGCTAATTCAGGGTTCTGGTTAGTTGGGTTCCAGGTACTCAGCCATCACTAAACATGAATTCAGTGCCTGGAACCAGCACATCCGATTCCTAGGAAACATAAGAGCCTCAAGGAGAGCCCCCAAGGGTCTGTTTTTGTTGGTATTCTCCACCTCATGTCCTCTCTCTGGGTGACTGCTGGACTGCTGTCAGTGTGTCTATCCAAAGTCATGGGCTGAATTAATTTGGATTGAATTCTATGTCCATGTCGTTTCAACTCAAGTGTAGGGCACATGTGGATGTCAAGGACTTACTTTTCTCCCTCTGAGACTTGCTGACTTGGATTTTCTTTTCTATAAAAACCTTTAGTTTCAGTTTTTATGATATCTTAGCAGCTACTTATGGCAACTGACTTCAAAACCTTCTATGCTTTGCCCTGTTCTCCATCACCTAAGTGAAGATTATGGAGGATTTATTTCTAAGCAGGTTTGGAAAGTCTGGGGTGGGAATGAGGGGACTAATATATATATATAAATAATTTAATATATATAATGATATACATTATGATATTATAATATATGAATATACCATATATTATATATGATATAAATGATAATTTATATTATATATGATATAAATGATAATTTATATTATATATGATATAAATGATAATTTATATCATTACACATATATAATTTATATAATTTATATAATCACATATAAATATACACAAATATATGAATAATATATAATACACAAATATATGTATAACTATATAAATGTATACAATTTATATTGATATATAAATGATATATAAATATATAATATATAGCTTATAATTATATACTATATAAAATGTATATTATAAATATATTATATGTATATAATTTTAACTTTGATGACTTACTTTACCTCTATTTTGGATCTACCTGTTCCTGAAGCCAAATATACACATATCTGTACACACATATGTGTATGTATATAGTATGTACACGTGTCATATAAATAATCTTCACGTCTTAAGGAGAGAGTGAGATACTTTAGAACAGGTTTCTGAGCTCTTTGAAAGTGTGGACACGTAAGCTCTGCTTTTCACAAATGACAGCCCTGGTCAGACCCAGAGGCAGGGCCTGAAAGTAGCTGAGGGAGACTGAAGAGAAACCGCAGCTACCAAGTCCCATGATCATTCTTCAAGGCCAGCTTTCTGGAAACACAGAATAAAAAGAAAACCCCCCAAACATGAAGACTGAATGGACTACACTCTGGGGCCCAATACTGCATATTCCTCACAGGACTTCAGGTCACTCACTAAATTGTTCTGCAATTTGTGAAGACAGGAATACTCAGTACTCCTGAGATCTGGTGATAGGCGGATAAATTACACTTCATTTGAGGTATTATAATAATTTGAGGCTCTGGTAGAGGAGAACTATGTGCTATCAATTTTCTCTCAAAGTTTTCATTTTCTATTAGGCCCCAATCTGGTTCCCATCTCCACGTCCACCTCCATTGATTAAGACCACGTCTGTGCTATAGCTACGCACGTGGCCCCACCACCCCATGCATCCCGGGCACTGCACATGGACTTGTTGAGGAGCACATGACTCTGATGCACCGGAGCAGCCCCACTACTGGAGCACAGGTGGGCGCACTGTGCCTCCGTCACGGTGAACTGGCTCTCCTACACTGGTAACGGGCATATTGGTAGAGATTACAGTTGTTCACGGCATTTCCCCAGGTAGTTTCTGGAAAATGTATCCTTGCCCCTACAGGAAACCCATTCCTAAGGTGAAGTAGAACATTCTGCAGATCCCTCACCCTGGCCCAGAAGCACGCCAAGGACAGCAGGGGAGCTGAGGGAGGTATGGGGGACATGGCCATCCATTCTCACGCCACCCTCACAGTCAAGCACTGGTTGTTACTCTGCACAATATTCTTGGAAGGAAGGGGAGCTCTGGTATTCAGTTCTTTTTATTGTGTTAAAATATACATAACATAACATTTACCATTTTAGCTATTTTTAAGAGTACAGCCCAGTGGTATTAAGTGCATTCACATTGTTTTATAACCATCACCACCATCCTTCTCCAGAACTTTTTCATCTTCCCAGAGTGAAACACTGTACCCACTAAACACTAACTTCCTGTTCCTCTCAATTCCTAGGCCTTGGCAACCATCGTGCTACTTTCAGACTATAAATTTGACTACTCTAGGTACCTCATATAAGTGGAGTCATACAGTACTTGTCCTTTCGTCTGGCTTATTTCCCTTAGTATCTTCAAGGTTCATCCACGCTGTAACCTGTATCAGAATTTCATCTTTTGAAGGCTGAATAATATCCCATAGTATGCACGTACCATGTTTGCTTTATCCATTCATCAGTTGCTGGGCAGGTGGGCAGCTTCTAACTACTGACTATTATGGATAATGCCGCTAGGAACATGGGTGTACAAATATCTTTAATTCCCAGTTTTCACTTCTTTTAGGTATATACCTGGAAGTGAAGTTGCTGGATCCTGTGGTAATTCGAGATTTTAATTTTTGAAGAACTGTCATACTATTTGGTGTTCAGTTATTTTTTTTATTAATAAATTTCGTTTTAGTGCAGCTTTAGTGCAGCAAAACTGAGGGGAAAGCACACGTGGTTCCCATAGACCCTTAGTCCCCAAACATGCGCGCCATTTTACAGAGTTGCTCTAAGCACCAGGTGACTTCACTGCTTCACCTGAGGGGGTGGGTGAGCAGGTCCTGCCAGAGCTTGAAGCCCTGATTACCTGAGACATCACAGAAGCCTTTTTCCTTCCCTGGCCTGTAGTTGTAAAAGTGACATCAAAGGTCATCCTATGGGAACCCCCGATGTGTGAATGTGGACACTCGCAGACGACAAAGGAGTAGGGGGTTTAACAAGCACCAGATCCACCCCACTTCCTTCCCTCCATGGCAAAGATGCTTTATAAACGCAAAACCTTCTTTCTGAGAATGCTGTGAGGAACAACTCATTAGTGCTTGACAGAGATGTTCTAATTTGTGAGGGTAGCATAGTAATAGATGACTACGTCACTCCCAACTCTGTCAGCCCTACTGCCGGCGCTGTCACCCTTTGGGCAGCCCCCTGAAGATAGCTTCGGACCAATTCCTTCTAGAGCTCTTTCATCCCCTATCACTTTTTGTCTCATTTTTCTGGTTTTGTGATTTCTATTTCAAACATATGCACTTTAATCTATCTCCAGGATTTCTGGCTCTGTTAATTTTTATGCAACAGATATACTCTCTCATTAATACATGACTATTTGGAAATTGCTTTATTAAGAGTGATTATTCTCAATTCCAGAGAATCATAGTAAAAGCACTGTACATTCTAAGTGATATTTTGAATGATAATGTTTACCTTACCCAAGAAAAATGCTATCAATCATAGTGCTTATCCACAGATTTAAAATGCCCAGAAGTTTCTCAAACATTTCCTGGACAGCAATGCTGATGTTATTTTTACACTCACATCAACTCAATGAAACAAAAGAAAAAAATGTTTAAAATTCCTACAATGAAAGCTTAGAAATATACATAATGCATATATAGTCACAGGCACATATGCACATTTACATGAATGCTCACATAGATCCAAGTGTGTATTTATTAAGCCAAATTCTTCTCTTTTTTTCTATCAACATGGAGCACGTTATTGTTGTCCTCAGCAGAGAGGTGACTGGCTCATGCCAAAGGTGAAATGACAACATGCTGATCCTCGAGGCCTGCCAGGAATGAGAACTCACGGCCCCACCAGACCTGAGCTAGCTGACGTGGTCGTTTTTTTAGAGGTGCCTCCCTTCTCACATGTGTTTTGTAAAAGCAAGGCACTGTTAAGTGTGTGAGGGGAGACACAGTATGACGATTCACTCTGAAAGGAAGCGATACATTTCCCACTCCAGCAAAACAAAAACTTTCCCCGTAAGTGTATCTAAAAGTACAAAGAGCACACTTGTGAAGGGACTGTTGCTGCCATTTCAGCCTAGTAATAGCCCTGTTAGTCACCCCTGTTGAAAACGAAGGGCACTGAATGCCTGGTACTCATGACTCTGGAGTGAAATTGTCAGAATAATGGCATCTCCTTGGCTGGACTTCAAATGTGACAGTGATGAGAGCACCTTCAAATTCTCTCTTCTGAAAGACAAGTCAAGTGCCTCACTAAATATATTAACTGAGTGATGTTCAATATTGAATATTTAATACACTGTTCTACCTTGAACATTCCTCCTCTCAGTCACACGAGCTAAAGCAGTGATTCTCACAGTGGGGTCCCTGGACTAGCTCTGTCAGTATCACCTGGACACTTGTCGAACAGCGAATTCCCAGCCACCCCTGATCTGCTGAATCAAAACTTCTGGGCACAGGGCCCAACAAACTGAACTGTAACAAGCCCTCTGGATAATTCTGAGGCAAGCTCGAGTGTAAGAACCAGCAATATGCAGAATCTAACCCCAGCTCTGTTTCTCGATTCTAATTCTCAAGATATTTTGTTTAAAGAAAAGTCATTCATGTGTGTTTAGGCTATTTGTTATTATCACCTAAGAAAATTCTTAGCATAGTTTGGTTTGAGAAAAGAAACCATCATCACAACTTACATGTAATTTTTCCAGGTCCTGTGCTGGCTTCGAGTCTTAGGATGCAGGGAACTGGATGCAGGGAGAGATGAGAAGGCTACAGCAATCCATTCAGACATGGACCCCAAAGCTTTGTGGGGCAACCTTGTGGCAGGTCAGTGAATGTCCACCTGATCGGGGAGGAAGAGTTGTCCATTAGCAGAGCAAACCTTGCATGTTAACGTTCCCCACTCCTGTTATCCGGTTCCTCCTTGCACCCTGCTTTTATGACCTCTAAGCTAACTTACTGTGCCTCTGGCTATGTGCTTCTTGACCCATCCACGTAAACAGAACATGATAAAACAGCCCATGGTATTAATGCCTGGGCTCAACCCCAGTCGCAGCCCTGTTCCCTGAGTACTTCCTCTGGAGGAGCATCCCTCACTGGGTGCTGTCTTGAGCCCCAGAGCAGCTTGGAGACAAATCAATTTCTCCTTTATTTCGTCTTATGAATGTTTTCTTGCAACAAATCAGAACACCTTGGTTTAAAAGACACATGTGGCTGTACTACAGAGGAAGGCAACATAGGAAGCAAATTTGATAAATGATAAAATGATAAATTTGAGAACTCTGACTGAAATGAGATGACTCTCTGATTGCCTCAAATATGTTTATTTTTAAACTAATATTACTTAGTTTTTGATGCTAAATGAATGTATGCCTATTGTAGAACATTTGGAAAATATGAAAAGGCATAAAGATCAACTCTAACCTTGACACTGGTAAATCATTAATGATATTTTGTTGTATAGGTCCATAATCCCTTAACTGAAACTTCTGGGCCAGCTGTATTTCAGAATTCAGAATTGTTTGGATTGTAGAGAGTATTACTATAGCACTACTATTTATCACATAATACCCCATCAGAGTCTGGAGCAGCACTCCCTAAACACATTAAATATTCCTGTGGCAAAAAAAGATGCATATTCCCATCAAGTCAAATAAAATAGAGCCTCACATTAGTTCAGGTCAAGTTTTTCTACCAAAGAAATTACCAAAAAGCCCTTTCTATTTTTGAAACCTTTTGGATTCAGAATTAGGGATAAGGTGTTGTTGGATCGGTATTCTCTTTTCATATATACAAAACACTCAGAGTTTTGTTTCTAATTTTTCATTCAATACTATATGAATGTGAGCATTTTCCCCATGTTAATGTTGTTATTTTTTTAAACATGCTTTTCAATGTCTACATAATATTACACCCTGTAGAAAAGGTTTTATTTATTTAGCTATTTCTCTCATTTTTGGAATTATGAAAAGCTGTACCATTTTAAACTCCTGCTGTAGTGTGAGTGCTGGTTAATTGTTTAATTGTGCATTTTATCCCAGGCAAGAAAAAAATACACCCACACTTTATACATCTTAAAGTTCTAATCAGTGACAACGATATTTAGGTTTTATTTTTGTTTTTCTTCTATAGAAGACAGTGAACTGTTTTTCACAAAATAAGAGCGACGAGATTAATGTAAATTTATCGTCCACTTGAACCTCACCAGACCAGACTGAGTGAGACCCGGGCAGTGGGAGAGTGGCCCCTGTGTCTGGGGTCCTCACTTGGGAGAGGGTATGAGGCGGTACAGAGATAATTCACACACTATCCTCTGAAGAGAAACAATTGGCTGCCAGTTATTTGTGGCCTGATAAATTCTGTTTCTGGACTACTACTGAGTCCTGGCATTTCCCTTCCTTTTGGTGTTTTCCTATTTCTTGACATTTTGCTGCTTCTCTGCATGGCCATCGGAGAGCAGAAAGAGCTGTGGAGACCAACATCAAATCAGACAGGTGCACAGCAATGGCTCTGGTGTGGGTGCCTCGTGTGCATTATCTCATTTAATGCTAAAAACTGGTGCCTGCAGAGTCTGAAAGTATGTGCACGCTCATCAGTCCTCTTCCACCCTAACACGTTGGGAGGAATCGGAGGTTTGCAATCGCAAAGATCTATTCAAGCCTAGTGTTTTGAATGAGCCCAAGATATTTCAATGACTTGATGATTTCCATTCTGGCTATAAATCTTACATTTTTGTCAGTGACCTCTATAGCATCTGGACAAAGCAGGGGAAAATGGCATAAATAAAATTCAGAAATAATTCTAGATAATAGTAAACACTTTGAAGGTTCTATATTGACAGGAGGGAGGTCGTATTTCACAGAACACAGCAGGGAGTTGAGAGTCCACTATATAATAGTGTACACACAGAGAAGACATGAAGACACATACATAATACACACTTTAAAAACCAAATAAACATACAAACATGATCTTCCCAAATGTATTATAAATTAGTAATGCTAAATCTGGGCTCACAACCCCAAGTTCCTTTCTATTTATAGCTATTTAAATTTTTTTTCTCTTTTCCCTTTACATGTATTTAACCTTACAGGATAATTGGTATAGAGAACACCACAATTTTTATAAGATAATAAAAGAGTATTGAAGAGGTATTTATTATATAGAATGAAATAATTTCATTCTTTCCCTCATCTATAAATTCAATTTCTGCATAGTAGAATATAGCATAAAGTATAAAATGGCTGAAGTAGAAAGAGGAAAAGGGAGATGTGAAAAAATTTCAATCTTATTTTGGAAGTGAGTTAAAATGATCTTCCCAACAATCTTATCTAAAAGTTAGGTATATTTCTATCAAGGTTAACAAAAGACAAAAGGTTATCAGACATGAACCATCTCCTTCTCTGTGGCTTCTTTTTATAATTTAAATAGCGTTCCTCTATAATTAGGTGTCAAGTGGGTAGACGGGCTTCTAGAAGAATTTTCTTTGCCATGATCAGATGATCACATGTATGGTTTATTGTCTAAGTACACAAGAGCTACAGGGTGTGAAAAATACAGTGGTGACAGAGGAAGTGACCCCTCAAAAAACATACTTTGTTTTTCCAAAGGGCCTCATTACTTGTGGGGGTGGGGGGTACACAAAAGCAAACCACCAGTAATAACAGAAATGATCGCCAGAACCTCTTCAGACACTCAAACTACACAACTAGCATTTCTAAAGCTAATTACAAATTTGGATTCTCTCATTTTAAAAATATACTTCCAAGCAACCCACTTCTGTTTTAATGCTGAACCAAAGTCTGTGCAATTGGCACAATATCAAAGGGGAAAAAAAAGCATTTCTTGAACAAAGTTACCATTTTCAATGTCACTAAATCTTCAATTGCAAAATACCACAATCTGAAAACTAGTAAGGCCATGTGGTTATGTTATGTTACATTTAGAAGAGTTTATAGTCTCCCAAGCCCCAGGAGACATAGGTCTCTGTGACTCCCAGTAGGTTTGTTCTTTTGGGCAGGTCATTCACTGCCTCTCACACAGTTCATAAGTGCCCGCACGGATTAAATGAGAGGGTGGACAAGAGAATTTTCGTAAACTGAAGACATACATAAAATGTTGGGCATCATTATTCTTTTTCGTAAGAATTACGTGAGCAATAAAGCCATTAATTCTCCTTTCACTGTTAAAGAAACTGACCACAGCCAAAAAAACAAAAACAAAAACAAAATTCTGAGTGACTCTCTATGACTTGATTTCTGCAGTAAATTGAAGAGGTTGGATGAAATGACTTTAAGGTCTTCTTGAGGCCAATGGTTCTTCGATCTGGGACTTGGCAGTGATGGGGCAGCCTGAAGAAGGACTCTTAGGAAGCAGTCCCTCCTGGAGGACAAGCCACCAGGAGGCCAAGGGCTGCACCCACCAATCTGAGGCCTACAGCACTGGAGCATGGTCCTTGAGCAGCCTTTTACCCTAAGGAATGAAATAGGTGTCAACTAACTCATTTGTTTGATTAAGGGGAGGTTGGGGGCAACCTATGCAAATGGCCAGGGCTCCTGATGCATATCAAGCAGCCACATGACAAGCTTAAAACAGCAGCTCTTTATTAATACAGATATTTCACTACTCTAACAACTGGTGTAGTGAAATAATTATACGAGGTCTGTCCAGAAAAAATGCAGCCACTGTTAATATAATGAGAATGGTTTGCATGACATCGATGTAACCTGGCAGCCAAGGACAGTGGACTGGAATGCACATGCATGAACAATGACGACTTCACTGTACTAGTCAGTGAGGGCAGGCGACACTGTTGAGTGAGCAGGTGTGCCATGTGGCTGTTGCATTAAAAATGACTGAGTGAGCAGAGCAACAAATCTGCATCAAATTTTTTGTTAAGCTTGAACATTCTTCCACAGAAACTATCTGGATGATTCAGAAGGCCACATCTATGGGCAACCGGTGATTGGCAGCTTCATTGTGACAATGCCCCCTCTCATGCATCACATCTTGTGCAGAGTTTTTGGCAAAACATCAAATCACCCAGGTGACTCAACCCCCTTTACAGCTCAGATTTGGTGCCCTGTGACTTCTGGCTTTTCCCCAAACTAAAATCACCTTTGAAAGGGAAGAGATTTCAGACCATTGATGAGATTCAGGGAAATACAATGGGGGTAGCTGATGGTGATTGGGAGAACTGTGTGAGGTCCCAAGGTGCCTACTTTGAAGGAGACTGAAGCATCATTGTCTGATGTACAATATTTCTTGTACATTGTATCTTCTTTAATAAATGTCTCTTTTTCATAGTACATGGCTGGATACCTTCTGGACAGACCTCATATAGTACTGGAAAGTCAGTGTGACTAACAGCCCTACTGTGACTTGGCTATAAGTTTCAAAGAGACAGCCACCTCTGTGGGCCACCCATACTTGGCTGAGCTCCTACAGTGCTGAGAGATGTAAAAGGGCTACTTTTTGTAGTGTGAGCACACACTGTGCTCACATGGGAATTTCACTTTATGAAGAGGGGGGCCACTAACTTAGGCCTTACTGATGATATTGTCCCAGTGATAATATGACCTCCCATGATGAGGAGAATGTTCAATATCCAGCTGTCTAGGATGGCAGCCACCAGCCACATGTGGCTGGTGAACACTTAAAAGGTGCCTAGTGAGAATGAGGCACTGACTTTTAAATTTTAATCAATTTAAATTCAAATAGCCGCTTGTTAGTGGTGCCTTTATTGGGCAGTGCAGCTCTATGTCGACTGCATCACATACTGGTTTTCTTGGGCATATTTCAGACCCCAGAAGCCCATGGGACAATAGCCATTCATTCAACAAG